AAAAAAAAAAATGTCAAATCAACAATTCTACAGAATTCTAAAAAGCCTGCACAATACAAAAGAAACACCAACAAAGTCTGAAAGTGAAAACCATAACATAGCGAATCCCACAAATTCAAAATTCAGAACGTCTTCCAAACAAAAATTAAGAATGTTATCCAAACCAAATTCATCCTAGGATTCCATTACCCTCAAAAATGTCGATTCAGATAAGCAGACTGCATCTGCTACCATTTTAAACAACCATAGTCCCTCAAGAAACAAGATTGTCATTGAGGGAAAGTGAGGCAAGTTGATCGTTTGGGCTGTTAGCCACATTCCTCAAGACATCCATAGCCTCAGCTACCTTTGCCTTCAATGCATCAGGTGATTCAAGCAAATGCAGAACCTCAGTCTGGTCCATTTCCAAGAGCATGCCTGTAACTTTGGCCGCATGTTCATGCTCCAGCTGATCAACAAGTGGGTACAAGTTCTCTCCCAACATCTGTCATCAAATGAATATGTGCTATAGATCAATGCATTTTAAGCAACAATGAACTGCCAACCTAGAATATGAAAATGCCTCAGCATACCGTCCTCTGTTGTTCAGGCGATGCATTTGCAAGGGCAGAGGCCAGAGCAGTAATAGGCATAGGCTGTGGTACAGCAGCATCACGGGGAAGCATGCCACCCATGTCATATGGAACAGAAAGCATGCTTCCAGCAGTACCAGATATGGGTACATCTTGCATATTACGACCAGGAGGATATCGATACATCCGTCCCCTTGGAACAATCTGAAGGAAAAACATTTACATAATAGCCCAAAAAAATGCAGCATAAGGCCACAAAAAATATGGGAAACAAAAGATAACTGACCTGCTGCTGCATCAGTGTCATGGGTTGCTGCGTCTGTTGCACAGGACCAGCACCTCGTCTGCCACCAGGCCTTTGACCTTGCTGACCCTGTTGGACTAGTGGCACAAAGAAGTTGGGCATGGGCGATCCACCAGGACGCATTCCAGGAACGAGCTGCTGCTGATAACCAAATCCAGCCTAACAAGAATTCAGATGTAAAATGTAATTGCCAACATGAAAAGCCAATACTTCATATAAAGAGTAAATCCATGTCATTCAGCATGTGTAGCTGCCTCCAACAAACATGCAATCACATTAAAAATTCAGAAAAGGTCAAGATTCCAATTCTACCTCACTCAGCCATCTGAAGCATATCATAATAATTATGTGGCACTTGTAAATAATATATTTAGTGGCAATTGTTTAAAATCTTGAATACT